ATCCATGGAGGTGAAGGTGTCAGACATGACAATGGGAGGAGGACGACTTGTGCTCAGTGCATCCCCTGGCACAGCGAGTGGAGGGGAAATGTGTGTGTGGGCAGACAGTGTTGATTTAGAAACAGAGGAAAAGTGACTGTCAGGAGACTGCTCTTTACAGGCTTGTGAATATTTCTGAAAAGAACTGCTGTGTTTGATGGTGTCCCGCCATTGCCGCCGCTGCTTCTGGGGGGGCATGGCGCTCAGTGGTGGAGCATACTGAGGCACGGCAGCAGCACTGGCTGCTGGGCGTCTCGATCTATGGTACTGTCCTCCGTGGCTATGCTATTCCATCCAAGGGTGCTGAGGGTGTATCTGGCCCCATGACACGAGCCGCCTCACACTTTCAGTATCCTCACATGCCTGCTGCATGTGAGCGATGTCCTCCTGGAGATGCAGCCCAAAAAGTCCGTTGGAGCTGATGGGGCCTTTCAGCAGATTCTGTCAGATCTGCTTGGGAATTTGCAACATGTGCTGCCACGAGTTGTGCTGCAGCATGGTCGCCCACGCCTTAATTCGTGCTACCGCGACCGCAGCAGAAGAGGAGAGGCTCATCACTGCCACCATGGCCCTCCCAATTTCCTCCAGTGCCTCCGTAAGGAGAGCACAAGGCTGGGCAGCGAGGGAGGAGATGGATGGAGTGAATGTGTGAGTTTGCTGGCTCTGACCCTGGACTGGATTATCGACCTGAGAGTGATACATGCTGAATCAGACTTCTGCATTGTGTACAGTTTGTTTGTTACCAGGGCTCTTATTAAAGAGACAGAGTTCTGCTTTTACTCATCTGGCCCTATAATTGAGTTCACCCTTGAAATTATCAGCAGCTTTACACGCTGTCCCTGACACATCTGAGGAAGGCAGCAGTGCCTGGGGAGTTCCTCCATTGGTGAGAGTCCTATTTACCACTGGGCTGTACCTGCTCAAACAACTTGCCTAAAGAAGCATCAGTGCAATGCTCACTGATTCACTCCTGTTGATAAACAGAGAGAGAGAGAGTCAGGTAAATGCAGTTCACCTAAATCACATTCTTCCTGCTGCAGTGAAGAATCTGGCCCGTGTAATTTAGCACAAGCTGTGAAAACATCAGGAAATTCCTGTTTATAATAATCTGGATCCTTTAAAAGGAAGGACATTGAGTTAATTGGTGGAAAACCATCAGCCCAAACATGATTGCCTGCCAAATCATTTTCCAAAATCACATCTACACTATCTATGTATAGCTGTGTGAACCTCACTATTCACAAATCCACAAGACAGGCTGACTTTATGCAAAGGAACAAGTGGTTAAACTCATTCCTTGTACCAGCAAAAGTGTCCTGAGAAAAAAGGCAGCACAAAAGCTAGAATAAAAGAATTTTTGCTCCTGTGTCATGAAGGATCTTCACAGGTACCTTTTCATCAATACCAGAGAGAGACACAAACCCCTCTGAGACAAATATCTCAAAACCAGAACATTTCAAAATTCCAGATTTAACTGTACAACACTTTCCATCAGAATACAGTCTTTTTTTTTTTTAACTAGACCAATGAGAGCTGCAGGTTTAATATTTTTACCACCTGTGTTTCAGTGCAGGATATTTCCAATGTCCCCTGTCATGGCAGTAATTACAGAATTGACCAGGACCAACAAAACGAGCACCACAATTTCACTCTGAAGCCTCCTACAGAAAACTTTGTTGAGTGACTCCCAGCTTCAAAGCTAGCATTATCATCTGAAGCACAATGATCTCTAAATTTCCCCTCATGTCTTATCACCTTATCCCTTTCAATCTGTAACAGTAATAGCTCTCTTTGCTGCTCAAAGGTTAAAGCCACAGGCTTGCCAGTAATGTCTCTTACACTCTGCAGTGTAACAGGCACAGCACCTTTTTCCATTAAAGGAGAGCTCAACACCTCTTTAACAGTTTCTTTCCAACATCAGCACCATAATGCTCCACAAGCTTCAAAAGTTGCTCTTTAGTACAACTATTCAACTGTTCCTCAGATGGGGACTGAGCAAACCTATCAATGGTAGCCATAATGGGACAGTATTGATTAGCCAGGTGCTCTAAATTAGAGCCTTCTCCACTATCAACCTACCTATCTCCACCCTAGTCTTCATGCAGTTACAATGCAGCAGATACTTGTGCACTAAGGCCCAACACAGTGAGAAAGGCAACTACACAAAACAGCAACCTCTTCAATTCTATGGATGTGCTCCTGAGACCAGTGCATCACTACAAGGGTTTTACAAATGAGTCCCACAGGGGAAATGTTCCTACAGCCTACTGTACAATCTTGAATTTACATTTTTGCACCACCTCAATACTGTCACCAAGGCCAAATAAAGTGTCCCCAGCACCAAAACTCTACCCCAAACAACACTAACAAATCAAATATACAAAATAACACTAACAAAATCAAATATACAAAATAAGTCCATGAAAACCAATCATTAATCTGACACAAACCAAAGCCAACGCTTATTCAACTATGTGACCTGCCAACTAGCATTATTAGACAATAATTCCAGACCCAGTTACAATTATGTAAACCTGAGAACAATTCACTTTGTCTTAAAAATAATTTGTATTACTTATGACAAATGCAAGACAAAAGTGACACACCAAAGTCCTAGTACTAACACAAATGGTACCAATTCCACATTAGAAACTTACCAACAAACTGGGTGGACAAGCCTCCATTTTGGCACAACCTGGTTCAACAGTTGGTGACAAATGAGGGAGTCCATAAGGAATGTAAAATAAAGCCAAAGCCAAAATGTATTTAAACATATAGGAAAACATACTTAAGAAGAAAAGCTTTATTATATTGTCATTGTGACACATACAACGAAATTTTGTTTGGAGCCGAGGGCCCTGCTGTGTGCATATGCGCTGCCATCACGGGCAACTTGGGGGGTTCAGTGTCTTGCCTGAGGACACTTTGACATGTGGACTGCAGGCACCGAGATTTGAACCTTCAACCATCCAGTTGGGAGACGACTGCTCTACCCACCACACCCCTGTTGCCCCCATTACTTAAAATACAAATAAATAATTTCTGTGAAGGGTCAAGCATGGGTGCTTTTTCTGGATGAAAAATATGGAGTGTGCGAGTGCATGGATGCGAAAGAAAAGATAAAACAAACAAAAGAGCCACGATTAGCTGGCAGGCCAGGGGAAGAGAGAGCTGGGAATTGCTTGCAGATCTTATAGCGTTCTGAGTCCAGTGTGCTCAGGTGTACTGTATCTCAGATAGGTCTCAGCTCCACCCTCTGACCTCCTGAAAAGAAAGGGAAAAGAGTCACAACAGACTATTTACATGGTAAACAGGCCTAAAAGGTAGAAGGAAATAGGGGGAAGGGAAGGTTGTATCCAAACTCAGATAAGCACACACTGACATCTGGTGGGAACTACCATGAATTGCATGTATACCCTTTTTAAATCCAAATTTTGATGAGAGGTCAACATTAAAGTGGGCACATGAAATGCAAATACAATGAAGCATATAAATCTAGCTTGGATTTTCTTACAGTAAATGCTCTTTCTTTTAATAGCTTTAGGCAAAGTAAATTCAAATAATTAAATAGTCTAATGAAGTTATACTGTAGATGGACTTTTCTTAATTTTTGAGTTTCATAGATTGTTGCATGTACTTTATATTATTTTTGCACTCTAATTACCTATATGCCTTTTTTAACTGTAATGCCACCTGGCTAAACAGAGGTTAAATATTCGGTGTACAGAGGTTGAATAAATGACAAATAAATAAAATAAAATAAAATAAACTGAGAGGAGGCCCCTGCACAGGCCCTGAAGCTCCAGGCCAGATAAATACAGAAATATTCAAGGAAAGATTACTGGTGAAGGAAACATCACTGGTGACTCTCTATAACACACTGTTTATAATACCATTAGTGTACTTGGATGCAGGACAGAGTGTATAAAAGAAATGCACAGTGAAACAGTGAAAGTAAGGGCAAATATTTAGAAAAGGTGTGTTGACCATCGTTGCTTGACCACAATAACCACATACATTTAGCTGACAATGAAAAACTAAAGAAAAAAAACTACAAATTCAGTAAAGCAGTTTTTCACATGCCCTTGATGCACAGGCCGGGTGACTTGTAGACAACTGAAACCATAAATGAACCTATTAAATGCATTTCAGCATGCTCAAGTGAGGAAAATATGAACCATTATGGTGAAAAATCCATAAGAAGGTTCCGGGTTCGTTGCCCCGGCTGACCTGGTGCCTTTCTGTGCGGAGTTTGCATGTTCTCCCTCTGCCTGCGTGGGTTCTCTCCGGGTCCTCCGGTTTCCTTCCACAGTCCAAAGACATGCAGATTAGGTTGATTGGCGACTCAAAATTAGACTTCATCTGAAAAGCGCATCTAGCATAAAACATGCCATGTTTAACATGCGAATCATCAGTTGGGTGGCAACTGATGATTCACTGTGGCGACCCCTAACGGGAGCAGCCAGGAGTAGGAGAAGAAGATGGTGAAAAATCCATGCAACCCAATATTAAGTTTCTTAAGAACCACAACATTTGATGTAACTGCACATCTCCCCTTGACCTTTGACCACTAAAATCTAATCAGTTCATCCTTGAGTCCAATTTTACATTTGTGTCAAATCTGAAGATTTTCCCTTAAGGTGGTCCTGACATATCACATTCACAAGAATCGGACAGACAGACAACCCGTGAGCATTACACCTCCAGCCAGAGCTATTACCACCACAGAGGCATAAAAATGGCACTGGCAGAAAGGACAGCACAAGTCCAACCTAAGGACACTGAGATAAATGGATGAAAGCCACACATAAACAGCACCTATTATCATCCAGGTTAATGATGTAGAAAATGCAGAAAAGCAGCTACAAAATGAACTAAACAGCAAAGTCTAATGGAATATTAGTTGTATAAACAGATACACATGTAACTTCAAACACCATTTAATAAAACATATAGTTTATTTCTTGTTGCAAGTCAGTCATTGCACGAGTCACTTCATTTTCATTCCACAACAAAATTCATTCACAACAAAACCACAACAAGCAACCAAATAGCAGTCTTCAGGGGTTCTGCTACAAATGAAGCCACAAGTTTCAACTCCTCACACTGGAGCAGACACACTAGCCTATTATGCTTGCAGAAGGCTTGCAACATCAGGTCATATACTGAAACCACTTTTGGAAATGGAGGTCAAAGGAACACGGTATAGTTTGTCAACAAAGAAATCATTTCTATTCAGTCATATAATCTGATAGCTATAGAGATTTTGCCTTTTGTTATATTCACTGATACATTCCAACAAAGACAAATCAAAATTCTTTTTTTTAAAAACCGTATCTTTCATGTGTATCAATGATCTAAACTCAAAGGTCCACTTGGTATGTTTTCAGAGCTTTCAACTGTCAGTGGTCTTCAGCGAATGGAGCTGGCCTAATGGAATTTTGGATATGATGTATACTATGTATTAGTAGTTTGCAAGTTCCGTCCTGGTTCAAAGAGGCTGTTCAGTTTATGCTTCTTTAAGCACCTCGTGGTGGATTATGAGGTCTGCCTTGGAGCATTGTTTTGTTGTAGAAGTCAGCCTCTTGTCACTTTAACTTCCTCAAATGACTGTATAAAGTCTTCATCCAGAATTTAACTTGTACTCATGAATCTAGCTAATAGATACTGCAAGTTACTTGATGTGGCTAATGTGCCCTCTCTGTCCATACTCAAAGATTATTTATTGGGTTAAAAAAGCATCACTCTACAATCACAAGTGGTAGCTCTACAGTGAAGCCAGTTTCCACTTGACAAACCAGGAAAATTATGATTTGAAAAACAACAGGCCTTCATGTTGCTTTTGAACTTTTATTCTGGACTTGTTTTTCATACAAGTGTTCCAAGTCAGAGTCACCAAACTCTCTTAAGCACTGGCTATAAATGCTCATTTCCACTTAATGAATGCCATCTATTTTGGAGGAGGCACATGTTTGTGAGATTTGATCGTTAGCTTAAATGACAGCCTTTAATTGCTACTGTACATAAGGCTACCTTCTCTGGTCCATTTATTTTCCACAAATGAAACGTTTCATACTGCAAGCTTCAAGTCATGTTGACAGATTACTGGTCCCTGGAGTCAGCTGCTAATATCCTTCTTTATCTTTCTTTGGTCATCCACTGAGACCTGGTCAATGTCTTCGACCCCTTCCCAGATGATGCTTATTCTTAAGTCACATGATGACACCTGAGCCAGATGTGTTCACAGAATTAGACCTTGACCATTGAAAGCTTTGAAAGGATAGTAAACAGACCTTTGAGCTTAGAAAATTTTGTTAGACATAATATTTCCAAAAGGTGATGAATGAACTCACATGCTCTTTGCCTTCAAGATAATAACATTTTTCACACACTTTGACTGCACTGATGTAAATACATGAATAATTCTCATAGGCAGAGCAGAACACTCAATAATAATCTGTGATTAAGTGCCACAACAGAAATTACTTCACATGAACCTAAATAATAAATCAATCAAACATAAATGTCTAAAGCAGATGTGCAAGCTGACGCACACAAGGCAATGCATGGAGCTCCCAGTGATCTTCAACCAGCCGTTCTTTTTTGTTTACCCCATGAAAGGCTTCTGGATTGTGGCTCGACCAGTCTCTTTGGCGCTACACGCCGAACAATGCTGCAGTCCTGACAAGGTCACCACACAGACAGATTGTCTTAGTAACCAGGTCATTTTATCCAGCAGCTTGGTGGCTGGTGATTGGGCTCCAGAACGGTGGGCAGTGCCTTGCTACCTGATCCACAGCCAGGATGGAACAGCATCTGTGGGACTGTGATGGTCTACTCCCCCCCTGTCAGCCTCCTCTCCAGCCGGTCCAGCTTGGCCAGGTTCTCCTTCAGAAGTTTGGAACCAGGGCTGAGTAGAAGGGCTCGCTGGTAGTACATCCTGGCTGCTGCATAGTCTCCCTGCACACACAAAACAATTCACTCATTACAAATATGTCTTCAGTCCAGAACTACCTGGCAAAGTTGCTTTGTCATTACCTTTACTTCAGTTTATAGTAAAAGCTGGATTTAAAATGCAGCTGTGGCTTTGTCCAGCTGACCGAGGCATTACCTTAATGAAACTAATGTGAAAATCCAAGCAGAAAGACACTTACTGTGCACACATATTCTGTCTTTCTGCTTCTCTACTTCAAACTCTATCACCTGACTGTGGTTGTTTCACTTTATTAACCAATCAGTTTTTGCCACAGCCTGAGTGAGGCCATCTCTTACCTGTCAAATTTTAAAACCGTCCCTCTCCCTGCTGTCGTCATTTCAGTGTTGCTGGTTGCAACCATCCTCTACCACATTCACCTCCACTTCATCAGATCAGTGTTCCAAGGGTCCAGCATCAAGCTCACCGGATTCCTGCTCCAGGCTCTTCTTCAGCATTACCTCTCACCTCTAAAAGACTTTGATGCCATCCTTCTCATGGCTCCTGACTGGCTCATTAGTCTCCTGCACTCTCTCATCTACTCCATCCTCATTGTCACCCATCTTTGACCTCCATCACCACCAGTGTCTAGACTCCAGGGCATTGTTTCCTGTTCCCTTCAGGGCTTGTCATCTCACTTCATAAGTGGTCTGCACCATGGAGTCTAACCACCAAATCCTTTATTTTTTGTTCATACACTCTAAGGCAATAAAACATTTAAGCACTTTTGAACTGCTTCTTCTGTGTCTCTCCTGACTGAAATACAACTAGAGGCCACTGTACCTGAAGTTCTTGCTAAATCTGCTGCAGACATGGTCTAACAGTGGTTTAAGGAGTTCAGTACAAGAAAGTATTTGTACAGCAAAGGCAGCTAATCTTTTGCCACATTATTATACACTCCAGAAAGTACCTGTAAGTATTATGACAGTTAAACATCTCTGTTCTTCAGGCTCTGCACTTCAGCACATTAAATCTGAAATAAAATAATGTATTAAAGCATTAAAGTGCCAAGTCTCAGCTTTAATTTGAGTAGGTTTACATCAACACAGAACAAACTCTGTGGGAGATATAGCTACTTTAACACACAGAGCCCAAGGTTTAGGGTTTCCAAAGTATCTGGACAGATACACATGAGCCAAACACAGTCACATGAAAATTGTGAAAAACCCTTTGCAGTCAACTCGCAGATGCTTTGGATCTGGTGATGTCTTTCCAACCTTTCACTTTCAGCTCTTGTTTGTTGTGGGCTCTCTGACAACTGGAACAATTAAATAAACAAATTCTGACTAATAATCTGCAGTAATGTTGAAAACATTATGGTCAGAAATGTTTATGTTCCTCCATGTTTGTCAGCTGTATTCTTTGTCAGGAGTTTTATGTCCAAACTATACCTTGACACTTTTTTCCCCCTTTGGCATTTTTAGTGAGAGCCTTGGTGAGTTAAGCACACTGGATTGCTTTACTGAAAGTTAAATAACTCAAATGTTTTTTCACCTATTACAGAATGGCACCTGCTACCTTAATGTGCTGAATCCCTCCCATGTTCATCCAGGCCTGGGACTGGTCAGGTTTGAGTTCAACAGCCAGCTTGTAGCTCTAGTGAGAGAGAGGAAAATATTGTAAATAGAAATGGTTAGTGGTGATACATCTGAAGACAAACACTGATGTGTGAATGCAATCAGCTCTGGACACAAGTAACCTCCGTTGTACAGCGCCTATAAAAAGTATTCACCCCCTTGGATGTTTTACCCCTTTTTTTGATTTTATAAATCAATCGTGGTCAATATAATTTAGCTTCTTTGACAAAAAAATTACATAAACCCCTTTAATGTCAAAGTGACAATGTGTGGCAATGTGAAATTATGTTCACCAAAAGTCGTGCAAAATATCTAACATGTTTAGAGATGTTTTAGTAAAGCCACCAGACTGCTTTCATGTTAATTTGAACCAATCTTAACTTTTCTCAATATTACCAAAACATTAGTTCAGGGAAACACTTTTGAATATCTTTTTATTATTGTATGCAAATAACAATTGTGCTTTCTTTGATTCAAAAGTTAACCTTTCCTTCTCCCCACAGAATATAACGTTCTCTTATGTTTGTTTAGTGTTCAAACTGTGTTGCTTAGACTGTGTCGGAACAGTGGTGTCCCCACATCGATCATATAAAATGTGTATTTCAAATTTGTGAGCCATGGTGGAAAGTAGGAGTTATGAACCACATAAAATTATCTTAAGACCAAATTACTAATTCATGAAACAAACTCCAACTCTCATACAAAGCCACATCCAGAGATGGGGCTGTGAACCTTTAAAAGTGCTCTCCTAAAAGAACCAATCAGGAACCTGTTACTATAACAACAGAGTTCCAGCCAGTCAGAGGACCACTGGCAGACTTCTGACCAATCAGGCGAAGCCACATTCCTGAGCCAGCACATGACTGCTTAAGTACTGTCTCTCCTTGGTCTCAGAACAGAATTAGAATTAGAATCAGAATCAGAAAGTTGAATCTCCAAAGTGTGCGTCTTGTCCATCCCTCCATCTGCGTGTTTCCGTGTTTTGTCTAAACTCCTTTTTCTAAATCTTATGCTCACATCACCGCAAAAAGTGTTTTTTTTTTTTATTTAGCAACATTGTAGTGATTTTTGTAAACAAGCCCCATTTCAGGATCATCTTGGAACTCTGGCCCAAAAGGGCCCTAACCCAGCACGTCTCCTTCCCTGGCCAGGTGAGCCCTGCTAAAAGACAAGTCACCTGCATCTGTGGCACAGCTCGGTATCTCACAAAACCACTGTTATTACTAAAATTTAGTCTCTAATCTACTGAAACTTTCTCAACAGATTCTTGACTAAAACCCAGAATTTAGACCCAAAATCTATCTTAATTCTAGACACTCACTTGTCTACCACTGCTAACAATAGACCAGTAATTCCTCTAGCTATCCACGGATTCCATTTTTGTTATGCTGTAGCACTTCGTTGCATTTTTCATCCCAGTTATTTTCTCTTTTGTACATATTGTATATACATTTATTTAGCTTATAACTGACTTCATTGTCATCTTTTCTTTTATTTACAGACACATGGGTCAGTGTCCTGAGAACTCCAAAATTACAAATCAGACTGAATTAATTATTCTGATTAAGCAAATTCATCAATAGTGCCCTGATCATAACAAAGTATGATTATGAATACTAATTTTAATATTTAAAGTGCAGTCATTTCTGCTACCATTGTATTTCTTTAATCTCTCCACTGACTCTTTGTCAGGTTTAAGGATTATTTAATGAGTTCTCTGTATTTTGAGGTGTTGCGTTCTCTGATCACTGGGAGAATCCCCGGGTCTCCAGAACAGAATTTTTTGGCTGTTCTGAGGTCAAGGGTTTTGCTGTTGTTGTTCATTGTCTCTGAAACAGACTCCTACAAAGTCTCAGACTGATGGCTTTGTGGGTTGAACACTTACTTCAGTTTGTTTTGCCATGTGTATGCTATCTTCTCTGTCTGCTCTGTTGTTTCTGTAAAGACCTTTGCAGTTTCAATTTTGAAAAGTGATAAATAAATGAAGTTTGATTGCAAACATGGTGAACATGCTATGAAAATTTTACTTCCATTGTGTATATTTTTTGACAATAGTATGCATATTTAGACTTTAAACCTTATACACACAATGGCAGAAAGTAACTGTAATGCACAAGGTAACAAACAGAAGGAGCTTTTGGACATAACACATGACATGCCCACTGAAGGCAACAGTGAATGCCCTAGCACCTAAATGAAATGCAGCTATTTTTGATATTATGAATTGCCATTGTTTGTTACATTTATTCACACCCCTGAAACAAATATTCCCAACTACAGTATTAACCTACTTCTCATGCTATGAGCAACAGCTGTGTTTACACTGCTGCAGCACTGTGAAAAACTACTCTCTGAAGATTATAGTAGACTTGTCAAATCTGTGAGCACAGTGAGCAATATGTTCACTCCTTTTTACAGTGCATTCTGGGAGCTGCATTACTAGGGGAAGTAGAATTCCAACACATCAGTGTCGAAAATCCATCAGAGCAGTGATATATAGAAGGACTGCAGTGCTCCAAAGAGCTATAAATACACTGGAGGAGAACACTGTGCACCATTTAACTTTAAGAACAACTTTTATTTCAGTATTAGTAGAAGCTGGTGGTTTACAATAACAAGGGTATCTTGGCTCTGTGACTGGTGATCCTTCACCATAATTTTTAACAGAAAAGGTGTGATTAGCTTTTATGAATTTATACAGATTTTTTTTTTTTTAAACAAACATTCTCTTAACTTTGTAAAACACAAAAATTCTATTTTGAAAGCCAAAACAGTAAACATCTAATTTATTTATGTTTCTTATCTGCATGATTCAGGCAGGCCTGTGAATGTTGAGATCTGTGGCCACACTTTTTGCTCTGACACACAAGACAAAAAAAAAACAAAAAAACAAGACATAAAATAAAACCTCACTTCAAACAGTCTTCAGGCTGCTCACCTCATGTTTTTTCCTCCTTCAGATACTGAAGGAGGGAGAAATAACATCACACTATTATCTGTAGAAACCAATAGAGCCATCTCCTTGCACAAACACTACTCTCTTTAAAGCTGCAGTGACCTGAGGTCGTATCCTTGGCTCTTCCTGCCTTGTTTCCACTCCATCAGTGTTTTCCATAAAGAGCTCAGAGTCATCTCTTTGCTTTGCTTACTTTCTCCAGCCTTTGCATCAGGAAGCCAGTTGAAGTTTCCTGTGCAACTTCCTTCACAGATTAAATCTGGGCTATGGAACGAGTTGTTCAGCGTGCCAGCATGGACGGTAGATTTTAATGACTAACAAATCATTCTATTGTTCTTGTTGATACTGAACACATCGTTCAAACATTCACAGTGTTGACTGGAAAATGACATTAGCTAATGACATCAACAAAAGCTAATTAGAACCAAGAGTTGGCAAACAACACAGAATGCTTAATGAGGTAAAAATAAATAAATAAATAAATCAAGAAGAAGAAGCCCAGAGTAGCAACTAAAGGCTTAAAGGAATCACTGGAGCTGCTTAACATCAGAGCTTCAGCTGTCCACCAGCAGAGGCTTGGTAGTCATTGGTGATGCAACAGAACAATGACCCTAAACACTGAAGTAGATCTGCTACAGAATGACTTCAAACTAAGACCATTGACCTTTGATCTGCTATGTCAGTTTCAAATTCTGTGACTTGAACACAGTTATACTAGAAAAATAACCATGTGTAATATCCTGGTAGATATGTCACAGTCCCATGATGAAGACATGTTTGGTATCACAATATCTGGAAATTACAAATATCTATAAACAACTCTATAAATTACACTTCTTATTTTACCATAAATCTATAGAGCAGCTGTTAACTTTCCACTGAGGGAGAAAATCTGGAAACACATGGACTTTACACTATCCTGTGAACCCTGAAAGACTAATCAATTAAAATAATCAAGTCATCAGTGCACGATTACTTAAAGCTACAAAATGTAATTTAAGGTAGGGCTAGGATGAAACTCCAGATCAATCCACTCTACTCCGCCCAGCACTCCCTCTCCCTGCTGCTACGCTCTGCCACACTCTGTCCACCTCTTCCAACATTTGTCATTATGAAATTACAACAAATGCAACAAAACTTATTGATCAAGCAGAAATAATTGGAAAATCTCTGATTGGTTAGAGAGGTCAATCTTACTCAAAACCTTTTAGAATTTAATATCTCTGAACTGCTGCCGGTTCTGTTTAATGAGTCTGGCTCACAGGAGGCTTCGACAGCACCTCTCCACATTAAAACAAGTTTTGGAGCAGATTTCTACAACAAATATATTTGAAAAAAGGTAGCTGTAGCTTTAACTGCACAAATGTTTTAAGTTTAATAGGCAGTTTTGTTGTTAAAGTAATTTAAATACAGTTGAAATGATAGAAAATCTATACTTGCTTACAGCAGGAACAGGAGAAAGAAGAGCAGTAAAAAGTCAGTGAATGAGAGATGAAAAGTAAGTGAAAGAGAGAGGGAGAGGGAGAGAGCAGAGGAGTTGTACCTCAAAGGCTCGGTCCAGCTGGTTCATCTCTCGGAGCTGGTTCCCTTTGGAGAAATACAGCTCTGCTCTCACTGTCAGATCACTGGGATTCTGCTGCAGGGCTCTGTCCAGGGCATCCAGAGCCTGAGACAGACACACACAGTCAGTACACATACAAATACACAGTGGCAACACATTAACACACACATAGCTGAACAGACATACTGACTGAACAAACACTGATGTTTAATTTCTGCTCAAATGCTGCAGAAACTCTCTGGAGGTCAGACAAAAAAAGACAGAAATGGGTATAAACACAGAAATTAAACAACAAATTGTGTACACTGAAGGACACAGATGTTTAGTCTGTTTCTGGGTCAATCCAGGGAATGCTTTATAATTTTTGCAAGTTATTTCATATTGCCTTATGTCTAAAAGAAAGATGAGAAAATTGAGAGGAGTTATGTACAAAGATGGAGTCAGGATGTGGTTAGCCTATCCTAGCATAAAGATAGGCATACTTATTCTTGATAATCCTTTAACCTCTAGAGTCCTGAGCTTTGGAAACCCAAGCTGTGCGGTCCTCATATGAGGACGCAGGGACTCTAGAGGTTAAACAAAGAATCTAAATACTTCTTCCACCATTCATCATGGCTCTGTGTAGCATCACTATACTCCACTGTAATGTATTTGCACTGCAAAACTGTGGGCACATTCAATCACACAAAAAAGCTCAAACACAAGGGTCAAAAGTAGAAGACAGCACTGATGGTAGTGATCAAGCAGAGAGGAAGATGAATGGCAGCTGCTCGCCTCAAAATGGCTGCTGGTGTTATGTTAAGTGGAAGCGATTAGTTTCCAGAGTAACCGTTGGATCAGAAACTGTGCCCTGCTGGGAGTTTATTGCTATTTTTCCTCTTAGCAAAAAACACCATGGCCAGGAAACATGCACCTGCACATACAGAAAGACGCACATGGAAACACACCTCTGTAAAGTTGCCACGCTTGCTGTATATGGCAGACAGGAGGCGGTAACATTCGATGCAGCTTCTTTCCCTGGATATGATGTCCAAGGTCATGTTCTCTGCCTCTTTGGTATGACCAGCCATGGCTAAAACCTGAGCCTGGGAAAGAAATACAGTGTATGCCAGCATGTATCTGGACAGGTTTCAATGTTCAAAAACATTATTATGAGGGCTAGAGATGTCCTAATCCAATACTAAGTATTAGTATCGGCGCTGATCCGGACATATTGATTCTAGGGTTCAGGTTATGTTTAGGTTAAGAGTAGGGTTTGGGTTACGCATTACTCACACTTTAGAGCACAAAACCTGTTTGCATACTCATGTTGTTGAGACTTGGCCTTAATGTTAATCACTGAATTTTAGGGTGACAATTTGTTTTAAGGTTAGAATAAGAGTTAAGATTAGGCAAGTAGGTAAGGTCATAGTTAAAGCTAGGCTAAGTCTCTAGGAATTGAAAGTAAGTCAATGAAAAGTCCCCATGAGGTATGAAAACAAATGTGTGTGTTGTGTGAGAAATGAGAAAGAGTTGGGTAAAGAGTTCAGTGCCAGACAGATGTTGTTTTGGTGAATATCTGCAACTCAAACACACACATATCCAGATGTCCTGGTATTCAGTGATTCAGTGTTTGTGCTCACCAGAGCCAACCAGATATCGGTGCTCTCTGGCTGCAAGGCAGCGGCCTCTCTGTACACCTGCAGGGCCTCCTCATATCGCCCTGTGTTGTAGTACAGCGCTCCGAGAGGTGCTAGGATCTCCACCTTCCTTGTCACCTGCAGAGCCCTGCAGGCAAAGGTCAAAGGCCATGTTTTACATCAATTACTGCCCAATAAACAACATGAGCTTTAAAGTAGTGTTAACAGCAGGCTGTGAAGCAGTGTTAAATGAGCTGGAGTTTTTCGGCTGTAATTATACATGTCTCAGAAATAATCAAAGAATGACTAACTGACATTATATGGTAAAAAAAATACTATAAGAGGAGTCTTAAACCACATGAATTGTATTGTTCCCTTTAAATTTCAGTTTAAAAAAACGCTCCAGCATTTTGGGAAATTTATATCTTTGCTTTTTTGCCAGTAGATGGATGTCATTATTCTGTCAATATCAGTTTCATAAAGAAGAAGAAGGTCCAAAAATAAATGGACACAGAAAATATGTATTAAAGATTTATTATTTCAACTGCACTCATTTTCTTCCCCCTGAAGATACCTTTGATTTGACTTGGGTACAATTCAATGATATAATATTTTTCCTTCTGTAGATTCTTTATCCTTCCACTTTGAATGTTATGAATTAGTCATTTTTGTTATATAATCCAAACTGAGAAACAAAAAACAAAGTGCATGAATAAAACATCTAAAAAACACAACAGTTAACAGCAACAACAAGCAGTCGTTTTTTTCTTGTCCTTCTGGGAGGTCAAAGGTCACAGTTAGCTACACAGCAGCAGCAGCAGCAGCTTTCTCACTCCAGGCTGCACTGAGTAGAAGCTTGACTTCTAAGAACAGTGTACTGCTAAAATATACTGACCTCTTGTACCAAGACTCTGCTTCTTTGTTCTCATTGGATGATCGGAGCAGACGGCCCAGGTTCACCATGGCAACATAGTGTGCTGGTTTGAGTCGAACTGCTTGCTGGTAGTGAGCGGCGGCCAGCTCCCCTTCTCCTAGAAGAGAGGAGCCAGCAAAGAGAGAGGAAAAGAAGCAGGAGGACAGTGGAAAGGAATGAAGAAGAGTGGAGGAGAAGGAATACAGAAGGAAACAAATATGTACAGGGGTGAAAGAGAGGATGAAAAGAAAAAATAATAAAAAAGAATCCAGAAGAAAAAATGAGACAGAAAACTTTGAAACTTCTGTGACAAGGATTTCCTAGATGTAATATGTGTAGTACTACTGATGAAACTTCCATGGCGTCTGGTTAAAATGTTACATTAGAAAGAATTTAGCTACAGTGTTGGGAGTGTTGTTCTACACTAATCAAAACCCAAATGAATTATTAATCCATTGTCACGGAGGTGGATAACTGACCCTAATATAGCACTCTATATTCATTTACAGGAGCACAGTGGTATGCTTTAATCCAGGGACAGCAATTTGTGCTGACAATACATTACGCTTACCATTTTCAAAAATATCCCTTATGTCTTTACTTGACTTTTTTAAACTTTACTTTATTATTCTATCTTTATTTTATTGTATTCTATTTTAATGCACATTGGGGACCACTAAACTGAAATCAAATTCCTTGTGCTTTAGCATACTTGGCAATAAAGATTCTGATACTGTCTTCAGATTGATTTGCCAGCCCTCCGGTGACTATAGGTTACCCCGAAACATCAATTTGGATACATCAATATGTATGACTGCATACTCTTTGCAATGGTTCACAGTTTTTGTTTTGGGGCTTTTCAGTTGAATTCAGTACAATCTGGAAATCAGCGTACAGGACTTGAAGCTTGTAATAAAGAATCCATTACAGTGAACTCAACCTTCGTCAAATTGATTGATTTGACTGTTTCCAACACAATGTGCTGACTGACTGAGAGTGTTTGTACTTTTTACGTCAAGCAGCCAGACTCTGCCAAGATGTCTGTCCATCATTTTGTTCCCGTCAAACTATAAAATCTTTAAAAACTTCTTTAATGCTTTCATCCATCATTTCAATGCCTGACCCACCTCCACCCTTTTGTCTCCACTTTTTGTCAGAACCAATTAGCTCCTATGGCGTTGCACTCCAGGGGAGCATTCACAACTTCAGTTAGGCGTTTTTCTGGTGTCTAGACACCAGTGGTGGTGGAAAGTATTGCTGTGAAACTATCATGTCACCAGAGGGTGTAATCGGCTCACAGATCTTCACAGGTTTTCTTATTCCTAAATAAACTAATTAGTTAGTCTCCCTTAACTAAAATATAGCTGGGAGCAGAAACTTTGCCTTCTGAAATTTTACAGTTTGTTGATGCAAAGTATTGCAATCACACACTGTGTTGCTGAAAATTTAAAAAGACAACATGTAAAGCTGGATGTTTTGATAAGAGCAGAACATGAATTTACAATTGAAAAAAATATTTGACAGCCAACTCTCAAAACCTTGGTCTTAGACTTTTCAACAACTTCATGAACTAAGTGGCCTGTTTATTAGGTACAGCTATACAATCTATTTCAATCTGATACAGTTCTGTCAAAACTTTTCTTCAATTTTATATTGTTCGGGTTTGGTGACACTGTCAGAATTCAATTATATGTTTTTACTGAGTTCATAATTAAAGACTGTGTGGTATTACATACAGTACATGAGAGGGTCAGAAAATAAGCAAGCAAGCAAAAGGTTATTTATATAGCACCTTAATAAACCAAGGTTACAAGGTGCTTCATGGGAGGGTAAAACAAAAACACAACACAACAATGTGAAGCCAAATAAAATACAACAAAATGGGCATAAATTCTAAACACATAATAAAATGGACATACAAGTGCCCTACTTGGTGCCAGTATGGAATGGCTCCCTAAATAGGTACATTTTCAGAAGAGAGGAAAAGACCACTAAGTCTGAGGCTGACTGAATATCAAGTGGAAGGCTAGTCCACAATTTAGCAGCTACCACCATAAAAGGTCAGAAACATGTTTAAAGCTAAAGGGACAATCTTCCCCACTGAGTAACAATTCAAGCAGCTCAGAGATATACGGAGGTGCCAGACAGTGCAGACCTTTAAAAACAACATAGTCCAGTACAACACCACTAACTAGAGCCTCGAGGCTACAACATATAACCGTGGTGACTTGGCATTTTTTTTACTATTTATGGTTTATTTTTAGTTACAGGCAACTTTCAAATCATTGAATGACCAACACAGTATGATTTAGCATTTACGTTTGTTAGCATTTTTTGAAAAGCATGATTTCTGAATAAAGTGCACACAATTAGTTCTGTGTTGTCAACACTGATGTTCAGTTACCCTTAAGTTGCTATGATATTGTTGTCATTCTTTTGAATGACTATGCTGTTGCACCACACCATGGTCTGACAGTACTGTATGTTTGTCCTCCGCCATGGAGATGATGCAGTGAGCCCATGAGCCCATTTATTTATTTGTTTTTTGAAACTGTATAGCAGAAGATTTGTTGAACTGCATTACACAGCACAGGTGTGCCTAATAAAGTGGCCAAATATCCAAACAAAGAGATCCTTCAACATCATTTCAAAAACTTTATCAGCTTGACAAACAGGCAGTGTTTGAACTATTGGTGGAACCATGGTGTTTATTCATCAGCCCAGGGGCGAGTGAGGCCCCACTCACCTGTATCGACCAGAAACACTCCGTAATTATTATGCAAGTCAGAGCTGTCTGGGCAGTTCTCTATACCTTTCAGATACACTTCATTGGCTTCATGAAAGCGTTTCTGTGGAAATGCAGATGAAATTAATACAGGATTAAAACAGAAATGAACTAGACCAAGGTTAGAGGAAGTTACAAAATAGTGATAAGGTATAACATGCCTACAGGCACACAAGTCAAATATGGTTCATATTTCTGTGTGTGTGACAGATATGGGTGTTTCACCTGTTCAGCATAGAGTGATGCCAGACTGGAATAAGCATCAGCAAAATGTGGACCGAAACGTATGGAGTCTTTCAGCAGAGCCTCAGCCTCTTTCTCCTTCCCCTGGGACCTCAAAGACAGCATCATCATCATCATCATCATCATCATATTATAATCATCATATAAGCTTCCTCATAATCATTATCAACAACAGGATTTGATCAAATGCTCATCAACACCACAATAATCATCTTCATCACCATCATAAAAATGATTATACTCCCATCATGACCACCACATCATCATCATCATCGGTGTCATAGTCACACACTGCCTTTGTCATTTTTGATTGGCTCACAAGCTTCAGGAGGGAGGGCCTTAGAGGAAAATTAAGTTTACTCTTTGAAGATTTCTGCATTTATGTACAAACTTACAATTACGAATGGACACAATCTTGTTTATTCCAAGGGTTCATTCCTTTTTTCCACCAGCACAGTGAATGTTTAACAGCTGTACTCATTAAAGGCAAGACAGATTATGTGTGTGTGTGTGTTATTAGCTAAATCACACTGTGTTTCTCTGTATTTGTGACTTAGATAACAATTGGACCACATTTTATGACCAATTCATGCATAAAACAGGTCATTCCAAAGGGTTCACTTTTACTGCCATTGTATTTGCAAATCTAAGGGCAAACCCTGGAGGAGAGAGTGGAAATAAGGACACATTAGAGTAATGCCCTGCAGATTAATACAAACAGCAATGTTTTGTGATAGGCAATAAATGATAACCCTCATCTCTGATGTGTTTTGGTTTATACGAACGAACTGTATTATCATACACTCATCATTATTATCGCTGTCACAAACATCAGCATCTTCATCATCAGATGAAGCACTATTACACTTTCAACCATAGAAATATATTACACACTCATTGTGTTTCATTTGTCATGCAGTTTTACACACATACATTATTCACATTCCAAATATACAGCACATATACAGACAGACACACACATACAGAGCTGTCATGAACTTGCAGCAGTGGATCTATGGCTCAGTTGGTCTGTTTGTTCTTTCAGCTGCAGTAATAACACAACAATGGTAATGATGCTGAGCCATAATAAGGGACACGATTCCAGCTCCTATTATTGATGTAATTTTCTTTTAGAGCCAGCAGAGCTCAGGGGAATATACGCTGCTTGACCACAACACAAACAAACAAAAACACCTCCATAAAAATATAGACAGCTTGTGAATTTAAAGTGGTGGTATCAGGAGTCAGGGTAATTGACAATTTTCATTTAGCAAATGTAATGAGTCATCTATTTTAATTTGACTCCAGTATGATTAATGCCACTGCCTCTTTGAGTTCCCTCTGAGAACTGCAGCTATGTGTCAACATATAAATTCTGTTTGAGTCCATGTGCACAAATAGCAACTCTAAGATTCTGAATCATTTGTGAAATGAATCATGGTCATTGAGGGCGCATTTATCGATAAGAAACTAAACTAGCATCTTCTTCCCTAGCAACAATCTAAACTACAGATGCTTAGTTGGGAAAAACTGTACAAAAGCAGCCACCAGCTGGAAGCTACCCTTAGCTGACTAACGAGTCTAGATTCGATAGTCCAGCAGAGCGTTTTTCTGGCCTAGAGCCATTTCTTTGGCTGTTGAAACACAAAAAATTGGTTCAAAATTAGGCACTGGCTCCGAACCAGCCCTAGAACTGTCTTGGTCGAAAAGGGGTCTGAGACATCTTTATCACCTAAGGGAGTAGGATCCTGAAAGATGAATCACCACCCATTAAATTCCTAAAGACAGTTACAACACACACTCATGGTCCAACCCTAACCCCCTCTCCAAGACGCTCTTTGCATACAACCAAGGCAAACTCTCACACAAAGATTAATGGTCAAGCTTATCAGTAATAAATGCTGGAACTCAGACTGAACTCACCCAACACCCCACCAACTCACATGGGCTCAATATGGACACATGCTGGAAATTTTATTAATATTATTTTGTAAATGTATGACATGGACATAAGACCATGTCCTTCTCTTATGATCTTATGTCTGAATTGGCCAAAAATAGTTGAACCCACCTCCCTTTGGTCAGAGAGTTCTCCATGTCTTTGTATAGTTAACATGCAATTGTTTTGCCTGCATTTTTTTGTATTTAATCCATTTGTCTAAATTATACACTCACACTACTGCAAGAAGTGCTTTTCTAGGAATTAATGTTCTTTTGAAATTTGAGTTTCCTCTTGTTTGTAAGCAGATGAGACATGTCTGTCTGAAGCCTCCAGTGCTAATTTTGAAAAGCCAGTCAGCCAAGGTTTTGTAGACAAAATCTAAATTAAGTTGTATTTCATCTTAATTGTATTTAAGCTGCAGAAAATGCCATCAGAACAATCCAGTGGTGATCAGTGTTAGAATAGACACGGTTCTTTTGACATGGTCTAAAAACCTACACACAGAGATTCTTTTCTGGCTATCCACATCTGAACAAAGATCACTGAACCACTGGCCAGACCTTGGGAGAAGGCACAAAGAGGAAGACAGCCAGGGCTGATGATGGACATCTTCCAGGCTCGTAGCCCAAAAGGTGTCCTGGCACTCCTGATCACCACTCCACTCTGAGCCCAAAGTTTGAAAGCAGACCGTTTCTCCACCCAGGGTTCATACAACTTCAGCATGCTCCAGTCCACCATGGCTAGAATATGGTTGATTCATTCACTCACCAGTCCATTCCAGCCATTTCTGTTTCATTATGTAGTATCTCATCCATGTTACACTCCTCTCTCTTTTTCCTTTGTGCATGCTGTATATGTGAATACATGTATTTATATAATAGATTTTTCATCTCCCTTTCTAGGAACTTCCTTTTTCAGATTGAGATTTGTTATTAATAAGTGTTTGTTGTTTGCTAGGTAGCTCATCAGATCAAAAGCTTGATGCCCCAATCTTAACATATTACTACGAGGTATATTCATATTCATAATCTGTTGTCCAAGTTTGGCACAGAAGAAAAAGATGTTTATTGAGCACACAGAGTACACAGAAAAAATGACATTTACTGCTGCTGTTCTCAACTGCGGCTGCTTGTAAATTAGTAAAATATCCTGCAGGCACCAGCGCTGGTGCTCCCTCTTTGTTTGGGTCTGTTTGTGTTGACTAATTATCCTGAAGTTTTATTTGATTTGAAGGTGACTGCCCTTTGGTCCCTTTCAGATCACGAACTGTGTTTACCATCTAAGGATTACTCTAGGAATCATTTGAGAGTACACTGTAAGTTAACTTATGCCCCTTATGGACAGAACTACAGGACTGAAATATTCACTCTGGTCCCCTCAGTCATTTAACTCATTATTCTGGAAGGAAGATCAACTGCTGGGAAAAAGACATGGACATTCAGTAAAAAAAAGCCAAATACTAATAAAACTAATAAAAACTGTACATTCAAATATTGGTTACACCTTCAGGAGGAGCTTTCAGTTTCGCTGTTAGGCTCTAACATTGTTTCAGCATCAGTCTGAAAACTAGCCTGACCAGGAGCAGGGATCCGTTTCTGTCCTAACTTGGGTCAGACTTTTTCTAACCTCTTATGAATCAGAACTTCTGGAAAATTTGTCTGAATTACTGAAAGCCCATTTAATGGCTAGCCTTGTTTCATTCAAAACACAACTAAGGTCACCCTTACTGAGGTCAGTCTGCCATGATATCACTGCAGAGGCATGACTGGATGTGTCACACAAGCAATTGGATCAAAGGTGTATGACTGGGAGATGTGATGATGATAATGCAGATCTACTGCAAATTCTCAAATCTGGCCTTTTTGTATCTAACAATGCAACTGAAAAATGGAGAAAAACTGTAATACTGGTCATAACATTTTAGATTCACAGCACATGAAGGTATCATAGAGCAATCAATGACCTGTCTCCCCTTTGCCATTTTTATTTTTGGTTACAACAGAGATAACAGGGAGATAATTAAACATGTTTTTCTCTGTTGTTGTGATCATATTTCTGGGGGGAAAGGCTCTGTTGCATTTTAGCAACAATTAAGAGGTTGCTTCTAGAACATTAAGACTGTATCCAGCTGTGAGGGCCACTGCCAGTTTCAGGAGCTCTTTCAAAAGTTTTTAACACATTAACGAGTCTCCAGCTGAGTGTTTTCAGTTTCTGTCATATTTCACAAAGCGACAATTAGGCTTTTGTTGTATGTGTAAAAAAACTGCTGCTGTTCATAACTGTTTTCAAACAGCTTTTCAGAGTGCGCGCGTCTTACTTGAGGAGGTTTCCCAGGTTGAAGAGAGCTCGGTTATGCTGAGGGTTGGTGTTCAATGCTTTCCTGTAGTAGCGTTCAGCCTCCTCTGGGTTGCGTGTCAGAGTGCCGAGATTGTTCATGGCACTGGCATGACGGGGATATAACCTGAGAGTAGAGGAGAATCAAACTGCATTTACTGAGAACATTTTGGATGAAAATGGAATTGCAAACCTTTAACGAGGGAAATCAAAGAGCCACAGCCAGTGTGGGGAATGCAGGAGGTCTTGGTCTAATTATTTTTATGCTACTGTCAAAATAATTATTTTCAAAATATCGTTTTCACACACATTTTATTGCTGCATATAAAGGTTGATGCTATCATCAGAATTTCAAGGGTATATTTTATAGGCAGTTCAAACACAATTTTGTTAAAGAAAAATATGGAATAAAGTCACATTTTTGCAAAATGTAAATATAGACCTCAGTTCTCTAATACTGAGTTATTAAGATACTGACAGTGATGGTGAAAGTTAGAGTGATGTTTTACGATTATGACAAAGCTGCACATCAATTAGAAAATCAATGACTATGTGTAATATAGGCGGTGTTTGTAGTAATGAACCCGCAGAGAATTATTACCAATTCTGCTGTGTCCCTCAACTCTAGGAACTGAGCAGCTCATGGCTTCGGTTTCCAGCAGCAGGCAGCTGTTTTCAGCAAAAAGGCTCACATAAACCCAATGGACACTGTGTGCCCAGCAGAAAGACACAGGTAGAGTCTAGCTGCTCAACATAATGGAACATTTACCACAACTAAAGAGAATTTTCTCACGAAGTGGATAGAAACCAAATGTGAACAAAAGGTTATCCACCACTAAAATTCAAAGCACAGAACTAGAACATTCTTTAACTCCCTTTCAACAAACAGTGACTACAGCTAAAGTTAATGCTTTCTGATGTCATTAAAGGTCTGCTTTCATCATTTCTCTACAGTAGTTTAAAATAGCACTTTTTCATGTTACTTAAAAAAATCCTTGATATTTGTAATATGTGTATTTTGTATTTCATATTTATTTTATCTTGATTGTTTTTTAAATAGAACGTATTTTACTCATCCAATTAGACAGTGACTTATCCAAGATATTACTTACATCAAGTGAATTTATCGTTTCATTTTTATTTTTAAAAAAAGTTGGTTTTACACTTGTTTTTAACAGTCAATCTTCTAGCTTGTTATTTCTGCAACTGGGCATCGCTGTCAAACTATATAAACCTTAGGAACCACTATTGGCTCTGCACTTCCAGATTTAGGCATACCATAACAAGATCCTGACTGGACTAAGTGCCTTGTCACAGTGATAAGGATTATCTTCAGAACAAATGCTGCAGATAAATCAGCAGTGAGTGTGTGGAAGCTGCAGCCAACAGCCTCTCTGCTGACATTTACTGCTGCTCTCCATCACACCTACAAAAGAGCTCTGCGTAGTTAAAGTACACTTTTATAGTTAGTGCCCATGATGGTGACACGAGCCAGACAAGACGCCTGCTGCAAAAGGTGAGGTGGCACTGTGGTAATGCTCTTTACCATTTCTATGGTAACCTTGTGCTACATGTGGATGGGTTAGCTTTTTAGAGAGCAGAAAGAAAAGCAAGTGTGGAAACACCAGAGAGAAACCAGCAATGAACTACAGTGATCAACTCAGTTGATCTGTTCAGACTGTGAGGTGCTGAGCAGCAAATCTCTAGAGCTGAGCAACAAAGGTCTTCTTGTGTTGTCTCCTACAAGTTCCTGATGCCAACGGACAGTCAAGCCCCAGTCAGTGACAGTTTTAGCGTATTTCTTTGTTTTGCTGTAAAGCACTTTGTAACTTTGAAGTGCTATACACATAAAGGCTATTGACAATTGATAATTTGACCTGATGATGGACATATAGCTGAAAATTAAGAGTCAGGGGTTCTGCAGATTATCCCCTGGGGTACTTAATGTTTGCACAAAAGTTCATGGAAATCCATGAAATAGTTGTTGAAGCATTTTATTCTGATGGACCCATCTACTGACTGGCTGACACTGTCATCCTTAGTTTTGCTGCTAGCAATTAGTTACTTCAGTGCCACTAAACTAAGAAAATGGATAGTCGCATTAGCACCTACTTATGTTACATGATGTCACATAAACTTTGACATTATGATAAAAAAAGATTTGAAGAATCATTAGGTTAGTTTGCTCCTTATGGCTCCTCATGTCCTTGTTATTATGTCCTGCAGCCTATGAGCTAAAAATCAATCAAGAGCTGCCACCACTGAAGACATCCCGAACCATTAAATACAAAACCGAGGAAAGAAGGCAGCCACTGGGTACATCCCGCTTCCACTATTTGATCATTCCTTGCTTCTTGCTTAATATGGATATTGTTCTGGTCCTTCACTTTAAAGGCTGTTCCAAAGCTCTTATTTCTGCTCTGAGGAGTGAAGATCAAGGAGGGATTGGAGGAGCCATGAGCCAGGATACATAAGACCGTCCTTCACTGACATCTTAACAGTCCAACACATCCCATTACTAGAAATCTGTCAGTGACTAGATGCGGGAGCTGATTGGATGGATGTGATACTACATGACAACCTCACCACAGTTTTATTTGGACAGACAAATAATAGTTTCAATAGGTTCAAGCGTATAAATCCCAAGATTTAGTTTTCATGTTTTTCATATCCACCTTCAGAACATAAATAATGGCTCTGTAGGTCTGAATAACAAAAGAACCACCCTGCAAGCTAAAGGTTAACCTGCTGTTGAGGCACGCTCTCAGTTCCCTATTAACTTTACTACGGCACGTTTGCATATATTTGAATATTCAGGGGCCCTGCAATTCACAATATGGTCCAAATGTTGAGTCCCTTTACAGAAGTTCACTGAACTTTTTTGAGGAAAAACTCTGTTAGACTACATAATGTTTATAGCAGAGTATTTTTATATGGAAATATAAATATCAAAATGTCTCTGGAGCAGATCTTCAAATACTTAATGCAGGTTTTTAATAAATATTCTACCTCACATACATATAACATTTGTCAAACAATTTTTTATGTTGAACAGTGAGAGACTGTGCACTCTTCTTTTCATGTGGACAATCAGTATATGGGCAATTATAAGCCACTATAAGACACAATACAGTTGTTAAGGATGACAGACAGCTGATCCAGCTGTGGTGTGATCATCAGAAACAAATGCCACTTTAGATGATGGCTCAGAGGAAAGGACATCTAATTTCTGTGCAAACATCTTTCCTTTATTCCTCTCTCACACACATCTTTTCCTGCATGTCTCCTCATGTCTGCAGTGGGAGGGACCAAGATGTGAGGGAAAGACACAAGTGAGGGAAACACGGGAAACATGCCATTAAGGGAATTGGGATGCACCCAGAGAATCTGATCAACTAACAGACTGTGGCACACACACATAAAACTAAATTATACAAAAAATAGAAAACATAATAAATAAATGGAGATGTCTCTCTCACACTATCTACTTCATGGATTATGTCTCAAACTGACAAGTTAAAACGGCAAGAAAAGGAATAAGAAAAGATGCGCTAAAAATAATTTGGGATTTAAAATGTCAAGGTTCAAAGGGATCTTTGCCCTCTCACTGCCTTCGTTGGAGAAAAAAAGCAGCAGAAAAAAGCAAGAGGCTGGTTAATTAAAGTGAGAATGAGAGGTCTGGCAGGTTTGGGGTTATTACGAGCTGGGATGTAGTTTGGAGCTGGATGAAAGCAACTGAAGCTTTTTTCCTCAGGGTTTGGCAGAACAGCAGAGTGGATCCGCTGAAGCTCCCACATGCTGCTGCAAGAAGACTGGAGAGAAGTAGAGGTGGAAAGGAAGGAAGACAGGATGCAGAGAGTGTAATCAAAAGATTACAACAAACATGTTATGACCCTGGATTCACGCTGAACAATGAATCCTTTATATTAACACTAGAACCACCAAGAGATCATTTTGACCTCTCTTCACTATTAAAATGCATGTAACTTTGTTTGAGTAAAAACCCTATGTCTCCCAGTCAATGACTTTTCCTAAAAGTGTGTTACACATCATCTTATGCGTTTTGGGAATTCTGGAATAAAAGAGAGGAAAAAAAAGAGTGGTTTTACCTAGAACCGCCAAGAGGTCATTTTGACCTTCATTATTCCTAATGCAAAAATGGTAAATAGACTGCACTTGTATAGCCATATAAATTATATATCCAGTCAGATACACAGCTCAAAACACTTTATAGTAATGCCTCACATTCCCCCATTCTTACACACACACATACTTTTCAAAATTAGCAATAGGCGTTGCTAGGCAACCAAGATACAAAGTGAGTATAGTGTAGTGATGAACCTGATGCGGCCTTACCTAGGTAAGGGGAGAAATGTTACTACAGACAACTTTTTTACATCACTCCCCCTTGTTCATAAACTCCTAGTAAGGATCACCAGCCTGGTGAACAAAAACAGGTGTTCACTCCCACCTTCTGTGAATCAGAAAGCATCACTGCATGACATCAAAGTGATGAAGAATGACAAGACAATACTTAGAATGTATCAGGTCAAGGTGAACAAAAATGTGTGCATCCTCAGCACAATGCACCAGACGGTGAACGTGGAAAGTGACAGCCAGAAGAAAAAGCCAGACACAGTGCACTATTATAACAAGATCAAGGTGGGAGTGGATGTCCTGGACAAAATGATCAGACAATACTCCACAAGAGCTGCCATGCGCAGATGGCCAGGTGTCATCTTCTATAACATGTTCGACCTGGCTGGCGTCAATGTATGCATTCTTTACCGGAGCTGCACAAAAGCAAAACTTGCTAGGTGCGACTTCCTTCTGCAGTTGTGTAAGGAATTA